GTCTTCTTCTAGACTGCATTAAGGCCATTGACATTGCTCAGTAACAAACATTCTCATGCCTCATAATGGTGTGCGCCCCTAACTAAAGAATTGTAATTTGTGAAACGGAGTCTGACCCCACAAGGAATTCGTGTAAGTTAAAGAACAGACAAAAGTTAACCATAATTTACCTCAAAAAAAAAAAAAAAAAAAAAAAGGTTAGCCATAATTACATTATTAGATAAGCATTATGCAAGCTTAATCCACTATGTTAACATTGTTAAGATACCTGGGTAATTGTAGTTTGTTCATGAATGAAATCATTTTGATGTGAAAATGTATGTCCCAATTACTTTCATACGTAATATATTTTCCTTTTTAAAATTTACCTCTCAAGATGAAAATGGTACTGAATTAATTACCCCTCTGCATCAAATAGATATATAGGGAATCAACAGGAACTGCTTCAGTGGAAGAAAAAGGCTATGGAGACGCCGTACAGAAGGCTGAAGGAATGGCCTTCCGTCGAGCATGTGCACGATTGGGACTTGGGCTTCATCTCTACCATGAAGATATGTCATAGTATGGTTTCATTATTGAGCATATTCAGTGGGCAGTGGCTGTTTCTTTTTGCGGTTGTAAAGGTTGCATAGCTGTAGCTTGTTCTTTCTATGTGGGTGGTTTTTGACTTTTTTTCCCCTTGTGTATATGGGGCCGGAGGATAAGCTTAATTTTGGACTGCTATGCACCTGTATGAAGGAGATGGTGGTCGTCTGGTCGATTATTAAAGTACTGAAGAAACACGAGCCAATTAGTCATTGTCTGATTAAAGCTTGCTTTGTTATTCGTTGAAAATCTAGACCTCTTACATGCTTGTCTAATTCACTAATTAGCCTCTTTTCTTTTAATATGCTCAACTGCTCATGCAATATATTCTTCATTTCTTCTCGTGATTCGATTTTGACATTTTGTTGAGAAGTATTTTTTTTTTTGGTTTGGTCTTGCTGTGGTGAAGTATTGCTTAGACTAGTTTTTACGAGTAGTTACTAGTGTTATATCTTATATTGTAGTTTATGCACATCCACCCTTTTAATGTGTCACATGGCGAAGGAGAACTTGGTCTCGTCATTAGACCATTAGGGGACCATTGGGGGGTTGTCAAGAGTATATGCATTGATAGATTCGACCCTAACATTGGCATTACAGAAACACTGCCTAATTAACGTAATTATGGGGATCAAATGACTATGATAACCAAGACTGCTGTTATATTATCACAGATGGTTTCATATGCTCAGGGGTGTTGGATATTGTTGCCTTATTCCTCTTCTATAGTATCTTCTTCGTCCCATAATGTTAGAAATTGATTACCTCAATACAGCTAAATTGTTTCGGGACAATTCATTGCAAACGAATTATAGGACTATTCTTATTGTACGTAAAACCTAGAGAGGTCTCATAGTGTGATTGTACTAACACTTAAAAGGTACGCCACTAATTTGTAATTATGGTGGTTGAATACGTACCCCGAATCTACTTAGCTTTGTCCGTACATTGACTGTAAGAGTGGAGTGGTAGTTTCTACTTTCTTATGAGTAGTTAATAGTTATACTAATACGGAGTAGGAGACAAACTCAGAAGATTAATCCAACGAACATTGGGCAAAATTATTATAGGGCATGGGGGAATATAAGAGTACGAGTATTCAATTTTGACTAAAATTTACATCTCCTTTCCTACTCACTCTCCTCTTCCACTACTCATTCTCTTCCACTACTCATTTTTTCTCTCCCCTTCCCCTCAAACCACCAACCCCTTACCATGGCCAACCTTTGGTGACCACCGCTGGCCACCGCTTGGAGTGAGATATATATTTTAATTTTTTTCAATTGACACACTTTGACTTTTGAAAAAAAAAATGGAGGAAAAATGTTTAGTTGAGAATCGCATATGAGACAGGAACTCGGGAAGAAAGAGAATGACAATAAGATATTTAGTAGTGGGGCTCATATCATATGGGTAAATGAGTATAGGTAAATTTTCCATTTAAGGTAACAAAAATTATTTGAGGACCAACCAAAATAATATACACAGTGGCGAATCCAGAAATTTATAAATGGGGGTTCAAAATGTTTTCCAACTTAATCATACCAACTTACGAAATAATTAAAAAAAAAAAACTTTTTTTGGATTTTTGAACAAACTAATTCAAAGTTCCTTTCTTTTTTCTTTCATCAACCATCTTCTCACTAATTAAAAAGTAAAATACTTTAGATAATCGGAAACAACTAGTCAATTTGATATGTTACCCTCGTTTCATATTATTTGCGATAAAGTTTATTATTTATGAAACGGGTGTAGTAAATTAAATCTAAAATCAATCGATTACCTAAGTCAAGCACTCACTCTAGTACTATAAAGTATACAATCTCAATCAATCAAATGCACAAAGTAAAGTATAGATAGTTTGAGGCCTTTGAGTTTGAGTCTTGGAAAAAGGAGACTTGGAGAGAAAAAGTAAAAGTTATTTCATGAAACTCAAACCCAATGGTTATTGACCTATGAGGTTTAACAAGTGCAAAATATAATTATTTAATGGATTTTAAGATCGGGAGAACAATCTTGTATATTAAGATTAAAATTAAGTTGTTAGGTACCCAATACCTATGTGTGTGTATGTTTTTGTTTGCAGATATGATTGAGAGGCTTAACATATGATATGGAACACATGATGCTGATATATACGTATGTGTATCTTTTTATTTGCAGATGTGATTGAGAGGCTTAACAATTTGAGAGGGAGAGGCATGGCTTCAATGTATTCGTGGTCTTCTTAAATGTAGTCATACATTATCTTGTCATCATTATTTTTTAGGCTCAATGTGTAAGTTTCCATATTCTTCTAAGATGTCTAACACTTGCTGGACATGAATATAGCATGGTAGTGGTGGAATCATAGTTAGTGTTATAAGTTGCATACTATTAATTTGGATGCATAGTAGCTTAGTGTAGCTGAAGTAGATGTAGCAAAAACTTGAATGTTCTATATGAAGCCCGAGGAACTAAGGAACTCAAGTGTGGGCTGGTGAATCGGTTGGATTTCGTAGACTGCAATTACAGAAAACTGATGTCCATGCTCATGATATTAAATTTACAAGGGTATTGGTTCGTGAAAGTGAAATCCGAAAGATCATATGAGCAGCTCTAGCAAGGAGGGGCATAAAAAAAAAAAACCACATTTCTTGATGTGTTGGAGGCGTGCTTGCATCACACAAAAGAATTTAGTTTCAACCGCTCTTTACAATTACTAGTATTGTCTTGTCATAACTATCTCAAACATTCTTCGAATTGGCATCTATTAATCTAAAGTTTTTATCGACACGGACCTAAGCCATAATTGAAAGTTAAAATCATTGTAATTAATTATAACACCATACAATGTACAAGTAATTAAACAGGTTCCTATCTTTCATACTTGTTCGTTATAATGCAAGCTTATTTTTATCCATAATTCTATTGTTTTTTTTTTTTTTTTTTTTTTGCGGGGGGGGGGGGGGGGGGGGTAGGGGAGGGATAACTCTAAATTACAAATAAACTCGGCAAAATTTGACTTGAATATGAATATGATTATTGCTTGAAAATGTAAGTTATTTAAGAGATTTTGCGTTTTGGTTAATGGTTGTTGAGATAGTTTAAGTCTAAGCAAAAATTGCCCAAGTTTTTACTAATTGGAGCTGAAGACAAGCTTGGTTGGAATTTGCGAATGAGCTTGTTTGACACATGCAATCATTCAACATCTATTGTTTTTTATCCTTGGAACTTTATTTCTCCACTTAACTTAGTTTTTGAGGTTAATTGGTCATTTTTGCCCGTCTACTTCAGTTTTTACCCATTTAAGAAAATAACTTCAATAGTTTTGTAACTTTAACAAAATTAATTAATAACTTATAATTTCAATTTACTTCTTAAAAAATTTGTTTTACGGAGAAGAAGAATAAACAATAGTTATATGACATTTACAATAATTATTATGATCACAATTGTAACCGATTAAAACTTAAAGAGAGGTGTATTTGGCATCTTATGTTTTTCAAAAAATCTCAATGGACAAAACACTAAGAAAATTAAACTAAAAGAAAAAATTATCCTTAAAAATTAAAGGTAAGAAATGTAGAAAATAGACTATTTCATCCTAAACAATTGATCAAGACAAATGGGATCCCAAAAAAGTGGTTGCAAGGTTTTAGATTTAATTGTCACATTACAATTAAATAATACTTCTATTTAAGAAAAAAAATGAATAATAAATAAAAAAAAATATTTCTTTGTTCACATCCCTTCTTTTTCTTAAGGCTAAATGATTGATAATTCGTAAATAAAAAGTTGTGTTTTACATTATAACCTATCTCTTTTACTCTCTCCAAATTATTATTTTTCTTTTTTCTATTTGGAATTTGGTCATTGTTTAGTATTCTTTTTTCAAAGGATATCACTACTAAGTATTATATATAGAGATTTCAAATTAATTCTATTATTATGGAATACAAGAAAATGTGATGTCTTGTTAATCATCTCAATGTGTACTTTAAATATATAGCAAACATTTGCTTTTCTAGAAATCGATACTTTTTACAACTCCTTCACTAATTCTAAAGTAGCTTGCTAAATTTTTGAACATTGCAAAGATACACATCATTTAACACATTAATCGTGTATGCACAAATAACTTAAATATAAAAGGTCATGCAAACAGGCATAAGGTATTAAGACTAACTGCAATAAATCTTATCAAAACACTACCTATATCGCGCGCATGGGTACCCCTAGTTGATATAAAATTTATAATATAAACTTCCTACAATTAGTTTATATTCATAATTAATAAAATAGTGGTTAAAAATTACATTAACAAATATGAAGAAAAGACTAATGTTATGTTCAATTCAACTTAGTTAAATTGATATCAACATATATATAGAAATTATTAAATCAGATTAGATCAAATCAGATCTGATCTTTTCATTTGTGTTTATATAGTATTTGGAGAATGCATATTAGGATTAGTGTACAATCTAGGTAAAAGCTTGGTCAAATGTGAAAAACAAATTAAAACGGAGAACATATTAGATCATATGAAGAACATATAGTCTATTGTAATCTACAACAGATACACCCGAGCGTATAATAGGAGAACTCGGCACACGCCATTCACACGTAAAAAAGGAAAAAAACAAAAGAAGAGAGTAAAACCCAAACTCCAACCAAAGCGCGTAAACCAACAAAAGTAAAGAAAGAGTGGTTTCAATATAAGTCACTTTTATAGCATAGTTAAATAATTGAAAGAGTAATATCATCCAACCTTTTCCTTTTCTAATTCCCTTCCCTCCCAATTTTCTCTCTCATCTTCCCTCCCTTTCCCCTTTCCTTCCCACCAGATCTCTCTTACTCTTAGCCCTAATCAGTAGTTCGGCTGTCAATTTCACTGTTTCACCTGTGCCTTCAAAATATCAGAAATGACTCCAGCACCACCCGGACCCGCAACGGCGGCACCCGGAAACAATAATCAGTTCGGCGATACGACGTACACTAAGGTGTTCGTCGGAGGATTAGCGTGGGAAACTCAGAAAGATACTCTCAGAAATTATTTTCATCAGTTTGGTGATATCTTGGAAGCTGTCGTCATTACTGATAAGGCTACTGCTAGATCCAAGGGCTATGGTTTTGTACGTCTCTTACTATTTTTTTTTTTTTTAATGTTACTTGCATTTACTACCATTTCCAAAAATCTAGATCCTTCCATTTTCGCTGAATTTTTCAGCATTCAATTTCGTTTTCTGTAATTTATATTCAAAATTACAGAAGGTCTAATTTTGATTCACGTATATTTTCCTAGGGTTTTTATCATAAAAAATAAAAGTTCTTGTATATTCTTATAAGGTGATTAGTTTTTTTTTAATTTAGATTAATGAAGCTAATTTTTAATTTAGATGAAATAAATAATGTTTGAGATGATTAAGAAAAACATTTACTCCACAATCAATTTGAATTTACACGTAAGATGGTTTTATTTTCTATAATAATCATGTTTAAATAATTTCTCCGTTATTCAATTTAGGATTGAAGTTGGTCATTTTTCTCGTGTTACTCGAATTAGGATCCTTTCTAGTTCATTTTCTTCAATTTTCATCTTCAGACTAACTTGTTAGTGATATAAAAAAGGCTGAAAAACTTGTCAATTTTTTCCCAACATGCACATCCGACTGTCCATCCGAGTGTTTTTAGGCTCGGTAGAATGTTTGATCATAGTAAAGAGGGGTAGGTTATAATCTCCCGAGATTCCTTGAACTTGAATATACATTTGGTGGTTATAAAGGGAATATATTTTTAATTTTTTTGGGAATTAAAAGAATGATATTCTTGCTTGCTTTTTACTTATTGCATATATGTTTTTATTTAATAATAAATTAATAGGTGACTTTCCGAGAGCCCGAAGCTGCAATGAGAGCATGCCTTGATGCAACTCCAGTGATTGATGGAAGAAGGGCCAATTGTAATCTTGCTTTTTTGGGTGCTCAAAAATCTAAACCTTCCACTCCTTCCCACCACTCCACTCATGGTACATTCTTCAATTTTTTTATTTTTTTATTTTTTTATTTTATTTATTTATTAATTAACTAATCATATATGTTTTATAAGTTTGCGCTATTTTAAATAATAGGTCACGTTTAATCTTGTTTTACAACTGATATACGATACATAAAATGGCTGATATATTGGCTTATACTCCGTAATTTAATGTGAGAACGAATGAAGCTGTTTTATAATATTTGATACTTTACTATTGATTTAAGAGAGACAATGATGATAATTATAGAAAGTAATCAAAAGTCACATGATACTATGATAGTAATATGCTGTTTATTATCCTAAATAGGAGTAATCATGCATATTTGATCGTGTTTATGGGGCTAAGATTTGACATAAAGAGAGTTTGAATGCTCTAAATATATTCTCTATAATTCTATATGTATCACCTAGAATATCTATGGACAATTAATTTGATACCGGATTAGCTAAAGTTAATTCTTTCTCTTACCTAATTTGTGAGACATTAGAATTTTCTTTCTCCTCCAATTTTGCTATTTTGGATAACTTATTACCAGACTGTTCTCCAAGCACTTTTGATTGCTTGGAAGAGGGATATTGTTCTTTCATTAATACATTTTCTGTATTTTTTTTTTAATCGCAAAGTTTTTCTTTTCAAGAAGTTGGGAAAAAAATTGCAACAATTGCTTTATTTGGCTAATGATTGTCATGTTCTCCGGTCTTAACCTGTTTCTGTAACAATGTTCTTAAATGTTGTGTTATCTTAATTCTATGTCTATCGCATCCTTTAATTTAACTACCGACATATTATGAAATCCAATCATAAACTTATAGTGGTGATCACTTTCTCCAGGCAACATAAAATATTGCCCCATATTGAATTTCGTAACTATTTATTTTTATCCATAGTTTTGTATTAGATAGTCCAATAAATACACCCAGTAATACTCACATAAAAAAGTTTAAAAGTTAATACAAATACATAAAAAGCAACTTTTACGTTGTTTTTTTTTTTTTTATGTGACTAATACTTAATTTGACCATGAGACCATCTTATACAAGAATTTACCTAAATTTTTTCAATCGCGCTGACGAAATTGGTTGGGAGAACAGGAATAAGCAGGAATGTGAAGGGAATGAACAACAACAATGGTGGTGAGAGTGGGTATGGAGGAGCAGCCTTTATTGGAGCAACAGCATCCACTACCTTTCCTCATTATGCCATCCAACAAGGGATTCCTTTAGCTCATTTCTATGGTATTATTCCATTTAATTCATTCCTTATATATTTTTTTTTTTGAGTATAGTGACTGTAGTCTACTTGTAAAATTGACTGTCTTTTGCTTTTTCAGTGATTTTTTTTTTTTTTCTGTATCCCTTTGTCTGTCCTATTGTCTCTCTCATCACGTGCTCAGTCTGTTGGATGCACATGCTTGACAGCTCATTTTCATAACCCAATTTAAAGCTTTACCCCGCATGCTCACTCTCTCCTGTATTTTTTTTTTGGGACATTGACAGCGTTACTGAGAAGACTAGCATGTGTGGTCTTCTCATTACATTGCCCAGTTACTTAGGTTCTTTTGTAATCACTTTTGGCTAAATCTCTTATAGTTAATATAGCATTTTATCTAATGATAGTTATAATCATGATTAAAGGATGACTTGTAATACTGTATGTTACATGATCTTCAAGCCTTTCTCTTTGGGGTCGACAATACAATCTTGTTATAAATTAGTGTGAGACGATCTCTTCTGATGGTTTCACTGTATCATACTACTGTTTTGAGGTCTTAAAGATTAAAATAAGTACGTTGAATTTGATTATAGATATATTATCGATTATCTTTATATCTCATTTTATAAGCTTATTTACTATATATGCATATGCATGTAGTGGGACAATGCAAAGAAGTGCTAGTATATTGTTTAAGGAGAAGAGCACTAAGGAAGTATATGATTACAAAATGCAGTTCTTGTATGATGATCAATGAATCTGTTCCCCACACCCTATAAACAATGATATGTGCTAATTTTGTTCTTCTTTCTTTCTTGTACAAAAATGGTATATCATTCAATTGTTCGAATAATTTTGTTGTGCCATTTTAATTTGCGATCATGTCGTTTTCTGTCAATTTTTACAGATCTTTTTGAGTTATAATCATGAAAATGAAAGCATCATCTAGTTTGATTATTCGATCCTTCTCATCTTACTTTTATCTAAGAAAATTGCCGTGAGTTTTATTGGTTGTTTAATACGAAGTATAAGCTAGATCATTGCTTTTCTCTTACGTTATTTTTATTTCTTTTTCTCTTGGACACTTTTCAGGTACCCTCCATATTCATCTGATTACACTTACCCTGCGGTCAGTGCTAACTTTTCTGCACTCTCTAAGATTGCTTCACCTTAACCATTGTTCAGAAATTGGCTTCTAATTCAATAAAATTGTTTTGATTTGTATTTTTGGTATTTGATGTAGATAGTAGATAATATCTGGTATAAGGTAAAGTGTCAGACATTTTCTTGTGGACGAAAATAATAGTGTTAACAGTTACATCAAAGAAAGACAAAGAAAGTGCTTGATTTAGACAACTAATTAAGGATTGTAACAAGCTAAGCTATAAAACTCAATTGTGATGAACATTTCTGTAGGATATTGTTTTAGAATTTTTTTCTTACATTAACTTTTGCCGCTCTCTAATGGATTCCAACTGAGAGTTTCATGGAAAACACAACTATAATCCCTTACAAAATAGGAAATGTGATGATAATTCACTAGAGATCCCAAAACAGACTATATTAGTATGATTTTCTGATGGAAAGTGTAGTAAATTAATGCTCATATTACTTATTTGGTCTCTTATTTGGTTCCAGGGTTACTATGGAGTACACGGAGTAGCCAATCAGTACCAGCTGTATGGAGCAGCCGGGGCAGCTGTAGGAGGCATGATGAACTGCTTCTATCCTTATCAACTGCAGTTTGGGGATCAAGTGAATACTGCTGGAGGAAATGCTGCAGCTAATACCACTTATGCAACTGCTGCGGCACAGCCCTATGGTCTCCACTACCCTCATCATGGCCTATTCCCATTTTCTTCTGCTACCTCTCCTCAGCAGTATTACAGTCCTCCCATGTCTTTTGCTGCGGCCACAAACCCTATGCAATCAGGTTTGTAGTCTTTGTACTATCATTTTCTCATTACGTTTGAATTTTTTTTCCATATATAAGACTGCTACTCTAATCTTTAGTATGTGATCATGTTACAATGCAAGTCTTGTTAGTTGTTTGTAAACTAGTTAAGACTGCATGCAGAACCTGAATCATAAATTCATAATTAAAGGGAAAGAAAATGGCGTGTTTGCTTCTTAATTTTGTTTAAATTGTACACCAGTGAAAAATAAATCTGTTATTTGCAAAGAACTGTTTTGGAATTTTAGGGAAACCCCAGCTAATACCAGTCCCTCCTTGCTGTCCCAGTCCCTACATCTGTGTGACTAATCCGACGATCTTGTTCATAGAAATATCCGTACTTGATTTTGTTGTTGCTAAAATTAGGACAAGGAATTGACCCATTCTCAGAATTCTGAACTGTCCTACTACATCTGTTTATACTTATTAATGTGTTTACTGTCAACTGACTTCTATAATAGTGTGTTTTGCTGTTCCACAGGCATGACCATGGCTCTTCAGGCTCCGATTCCTCGTTGTTAATGGGACACGCTGCAACTGGTTTAGCTCGTATCAGCACAATCCTTCTGCATGTTATAAGCCATATTTGGCCCAACCATGGTTCTCTTTTTTCCTTACTCATGAACCATCTCCATCTCCTGCTAGACTCCCTACTCGTGTAGGCAGTTGGCCGAGGTTGAGAAACATTTGTTGGTCCCCCATAGGGATCACACCCCCCCAAAAAAAAAATTAATTCATGCATTCTCATTGCATTTATCTTCAAGGAGTCTTAATCAAAGAGATAAGTCTCCTGAAGTAACCATCAACCAACTTGGCTATTTTGGAGAGCGAAGTTGGATGCATATAGATTGATCGTACATTTAGCCTCAGGAAAGGCTAACCGCGTGACAACTACTACCAAGTTTAGCTTCAATTGTGCCAGTAATAGTGAAGGCATATGGAAGTACATAGCTCTGTGATGTAGGGTATAGCTATTAGTCACACTAACCTACTTTGATGTTAACTAACAAGTCTTGCTATTGATGAGGTCATATGTCAAGGCTACTTGCTCGACGAGTATGGGGCATGGGGTGCTCTATTACTGCTTACCTCTGTATCATTTTAGCGAATATTCACATGTGAAAACATCTAGCAGTGGAGCTTCCCCGCGGTTGGGGAATCCATCTTTGAGTCGACAAAATATCTTCATTGTTGGCTCATGGTGGCTAAATTTGGAATTTTAGCCTTATTTTCACTGTACATTATTATTACCACCACTCATGGGGAGATTTTTCTTTTAGTTGGTATTCCCCATTGATCAGCATGTAGCATTCTAATACATCGTTGAACTCTATTAATGGTTAATAGAGTTCAATAATGCGACTTCATAACACATCCTTCTTCCCCTCTCCTCGACCCAAAAGAAAGGAGGCGCGGAATGGGATCCATCATTTTTCGTCTCTAATGTCTATGAATGTAGTAGCTCAGTAACTTTCGGTATCTCCTTTTAATTCGGTGCTCTTCATGTATTTACCTTTGTAGGTTCATGGTCTCACACCATCAATCAGGGATTGTGGTGTGCTGCTAAGAATAAGATTTATTAAATGTTAATCCTTTTTATTAGTTGTTTAGATTTGATATTCTAATGTTCTGAATTACGACAATATAAACTGTTATTATGTAATAGTAGAGAAAAAGTTGCTTACTGTCTAACTTTTTTTGAATTATGCTGTTAGCTTTATGTCACGTTTTGTTATCTAACTTTGTTACCCGCCAAAATTCTTTTGAATTGTGAATTAATTTACCATTTCAAACTCTTTTCTACTTTAAATTTATTTGAGAAAATTACTTACTGTATAAAAGACGAGCAAAGAGTCAATGACACGTTTGGTTTCTGATACATGATGATGATTTCTTTGTAATGGATTCGCTTTATTTGAATTTTAAGAGATTTGAAGAAATACTTTTGACATTTTGGTCCCTTTTAACAATGAGTATCCTTGAATATCAGATAGTACAAAGACAGAATGATATGTAGGGATCATTTTTTAATTGCACAATTTAGTAGATTGGTATGTATCAAATTTATATCTGATACTCCACCTTATTCCTTTAATGTTTGCTCCATTTGAATTTTGAGAGTTAAAGGTTAAAAATGTTGATCACTCGTTCACATTAATCCATAAAAATAAATTATTTATATGGTAACTATTAGTTTTGTCGTAGTATGTTGTTTCATATAATATATGAATTAGTAGTGTGTTTTTTGTAATATAATATTTATTTTCTTATAACTTCATTAACACAAGTTTAAGATATTTAACAGTGAATTATATTTCTTAGAGACAATAAAAAGCAAATGGGGCAAAATTAAGGGATAAAGGGAGTGTGTCAAAGTGATATGAGATGATTAAATGTAAAAATGAGTATATAAATTACTTTTGTGTGTCATGTGGGACATGATTTTAGTACTTGGATTTGTGTCACATATGATTTAAAATTAAAAAAATTAATTTATAATTTTGGACGTTTTACCAAATTGAGCTTTAAACGGAAACTATTTACGAAAATGGTTGCGTGGCAAAACTATTTACCAAACTAAGCTTCCAGCATAAAACGCTGTCCGAGACAGCGTTTTATGCTCTGGTATTTTTTAAAAAAATATTCAGTTGGGTTTTTTTAAAAAAAAATTCAATGGGTAAAACGCTGTCCGAGACAGCGTTTTATTCCCTGTTTTTTTTTTTAAAATGAAACGCTGTCCGGGACAGCGTTTCATGGCCATATATCAGCATGTTCACTTCAGCAGAATGCGCAAGAACTCAACCTCAACCTCAACGCTTTCCCTCCTCCCTCTCACACTAAACCACGACCGTACTCAAACACCCGCATTGCCGCCGCCGCCCACCCTTGCGCCACCGCTGCTGCCGCCACCTTGCTGCTGCCCTCCTCCCTCTCACACTCACTCACTCAATTTCGTGGTTAGCCCTAAACTGAATTTAGTGTAATTGCATAGTTATTGTGGTTAATTATTGTGAATTGTATGTAATTGCTCTTACTTGTTGTTAATTCATGTCAATTGCCTGTAATTTTTGCTAATTATTAATGAAAATGTGGTACATTGTTGATAATTATTGATGGTGATGTGGTACATTGTTATTGAAATTGTTCATGACATTGGTGAAGTTGATGATGGTGAAAATGTTGAAGTTGTTAATGGTTGAAATTGGTGAGAAGAGATGAAATTGTTGAAATTATTGAAATAGTTTAGGTTGAAATTGTTGAAATAATTCAAATTGTTCATGAAATTGTTGAAATTGGTGAAGTTGTTGAAAGTGAAGTTGTTATAGGTGAGAAGAGTCTTATTTCAGTGTTGATAATTTACCTCGCTCTAGATTTCGATAATCCTAAAATGTGTTTTGGTTATGTAGAATATGGCGTCACAAAATGTAGTTTTGTTATGCCGGTGGGGAGGAGAAATTCTGTTTGATGGACCCCGGGTCGAGTATAGTGGGGGAAATATGGAACCACTAACACTAGAACCGAACATGACTATGAATGATTTGATAACATTTGGAACATTTGATCGTTAACATTTTGGTTAATTGCTAATGCGTTAACTCTGTTGGGATTTGTTAAATTGCATGTGAACAGATACGATGGACGGTGAAGATCGTACGCCTGGACCCGTTGACCCTTCTGTGCTTACACTACAGGGCACACACCGCAGCGTTGCCGTATGGGATCAGACGGTAATATTGCATTTGTTTGTTCATGGACTACAGCTTGTTGAGTTTATATGGTATATGATCTTAATTTCTTTCTAACAGGTTGATCCGGCAAAGCAGCTCGTTTGCAGGCATTACACCACCAGGTTCATGGTGGGGTGGGGAATCGATCCTCGCGTTTTGGCGTACGTCGAGTTTGTCGGTTTAGGTGGTTTTCACCGTATGGCGTATAGGGAGATCGATCGAGCGCTTGTCACTGCGCTCGCGGAGAGGTGGAGACAGGAGACGCACTCCTTCCACCTACCTGTTGGTGAGACGACCGTTACGTTACGGGACGTGGCGATTCTTACGCGCCTTCCAGTACATGGGTCTGCGGTGACAGGACACGCGTTAGTCGATCCCGTCGGTTTGGTTGGTCGGGTACTTGGTGTCCAGCCAGGTCCCGCCGATATTAGGGGATCCGGGTTGAGGACCGGCTGGGTCCGTGAGACTTTCCGTGAGCTACCACCAGGGGCTGATGACGCCCAGGTTCAGAGATACGCCCGGGCGTACTTGTTCTTCCTCATCTCGGGCGTGTTGTTCGGGAATAAGAGCGGGAGCCATCTCCAGCTCATTTACATGCAGCTGTTGGACCACGACTGGGATCATATCCGAGGCTACAGCTGGGGTAGCGCCTGTCTGGCGACGTTGTATCGCCAGCTGTGCAGAGCATCCCACGTAGGTGCTAACGAGATTGGAGGTCCCCTGATTGTCCTCCAGGTACCTCACTTATTTCTGTACCAAAAAAACTATTTCACCACGCACTTACATATTTCATACTGAAGCTAGTTTTGTGTCTCTGTGTGCCAGTTCTGGGCTTGGGAGCATATCCATGTAGGCAGACCAGGCAGACCTGCGATACACCGTCGGGGGGAGCAGGACCAGGACGACCAGTACCAGGCGTACGATGCTCCCCCGCTCCCTACACCGGATGAGGCATATGGTTGCAGGTTCGATACAACTTTCATTGAGTTAGGCTTTATTTAATGCGCGGGGTTGTTAACTGAAACATTGTTCGATATTAGGTGGGTGGTACCCAGGCTGACACATGCTCATGCGGCGAGGGTCTTCCGTATTACCGAGACGCCCTAGACCGACTCACCGAGGACCAGGTAACAATTTAAAATACAGTTTTAGCTTTTTTGTTTTAACATTGTACTTGTTGCGAACTAACATATTCATAATATTACTGTTGATGTGTATTTACAGGTGACATGGGACCCGTATGTACCTGACTTGGTAGATGCCATGCCTCCACATCTGCTAGACCATCAGGCGGAGTGGCGTGCTAGGGTCCCCCTGATCTGTTTCGAGGTTGTGGAGAGTCACCTGCCCGACCGAGTCATGAGGCAGTTTGGACTACGCCAGACTATCCCACAGGGGTGTGACACTAGTGTACAGCTTCACGGCATTGATCGTCGGGGAAAGGGGGAGGTGATCTAATGCAGGGGCTATGGATCCCGACGATCCGTACATGGTGTGGTACAGGCGTATCACACGACGCTTCATCAACCCCAGCTACGCACCACCATCCACACATTACCATCCAGCATATGACATCATTAGCGGATATGTGAGTTATTATTTTTCTACTCCTTTTCAACAATTTCCATATTTGTATGCCATAGATCTGACTGATCGATGATTACTGCAGGCGGCGGATATGGTGGCGATGGTTGATGCGCTATCAGTCTCCCTTGAGTGCGGACCCACTAGAGCCCAGGTCGAGCAGGTGCGAGATATGGGCGTCGCTACCTTACGGAGATATGGTCACGCTCATCTCGCCCACCGGCGGGACGGTCATGATGGCAACTCACAGTTCGATCTCGGCCAGAGCAGCGGTGGATGTGATCCTACGTCACCCAGACACGCAGAGGATTACAACATCCACAGTACTGCGCCCTCTGGTACCCAGGAGGACCCCTCGTCCAGTCAGCTGACTCCCCCACCGCCCCGAGACCCATTCACCACCGTC